TGAGAGACGGATTAAAAAGGAACTAGTATATTTATACATTTTCAAAAAGCTATTATAAAACAAAAGTTAAATAAAAAAAAACCTATTTACATCTATTATCGGATATATAAAAAACGTCTTCTACGGTCTAAAATAAGTTTGCAGGTTTTGGCACATTTTTGTATCACATTAATATTGTCATTGGCTAAAATAGATGAAAGTTTCACGGAATTCGGCTAAAGACTGAAATTTTCGTTTTCAAAATTTAAAATCTTATGTATTCAGTTGTTCGTCTCTAAGATCGCCGTACAGCGGACATTCAGACAATATATGCTCCTCCGTTTCAAAATTATCTTCACAAACAAAACAAGTTCTTTGATTTATTGGGAGAAATCTCGAAGCGTCCTGTCTCCATCCGTATTGGGGCAACACCGCAGCGAAACTGAGAATACGCTCTACGGTGTGATGTATAACAAGTTTATTTCGGTAAAGTTCTGTATATACATCCTGTTTAAATGTTCTATATGAACGTAGTTTGTTACCCCCTGGTTCCTTTCGTCTAGTAGTGTCACTATGCAAATCTTCATGCCATTAATATGTGTTATAGTAGTCTCAGTTTAAGAAACCGACTGATTTGTCTAGCAATCGAAAAGAATGTACAGCATCACTAGCACAATTCAGATTTTGAAGATACCTAAAATATGAAAAAGAAAAAGAAAGCAATAGCTGTCTTTTCAAGTTATACTTATTTGGGTTCAGACGCTGAAAATGTTTTTGCTCAGTCGAACGCCAGACATGTGGCAACTGCATTTGAAATTAACTACAACTGGATCGCTCCAAGTACCAGTGTTGCTGGAAACATTGCGCTCTGGCTTTTCTGTCAAAAAGGTTCGAGCATGACTATCGTACTCAGACTCAGAAATCAACCAACCAAAATGCTGGATTTTTGTACTCCGAGTACTGAATTTTATGACCATGTAGTCCATGCATCTGGCCTTTTATTATAAAAATTATAAAAATAAGGACACGTGGTATGATTACCAATGAGACATCTATCCAGTTAACATCAAAGATGTAAACCATTACAGGTCGACGCACGGTTTTCATCAATGAGCAAAACCCATACCGTATAGTGAGCTATAAAAAGTACCGGGATGACAAATGGGAAATAATTCACGTCTCTATGTTGAATTTAGGAGCATGACAAAGGACAAATCGAACCGGAAATAGGAATACCTTGTTCTTGTACGATGATACACCTTCCTGTGGACTGTTACGTTGTCAGCTATCACTCAAATACTCCACTCGGTATATTTTCGTTCTACATACTTCCCGTCCTAAATATGGTTGAGATATTACCAAATGGATGTTAAACATTTATCCACATACCGTCATCTTTACTTGTTATCCTCCAAAAAAAAAAAAAAAATTCTTTCAAACTACACCCCTGTTGCCGTTGAGTGCTCACTATAAATATTAATCTATAGATCTAAACGCTTCGAGTACAATAAATATGTCCAAAAGTTTTGAAAAAGAGATCACAATAACCGATATCAGATTTCGGGTACATTTGTAAGGATAACAAAAATATACAGTTGTCAGAAGACAGCGAATACTGTCGATTTCTTTTTATATGAGACTTCATTAAACCTGTTAGGAGTGTGTGTTTCTGATTTTTCTGTTTTGTTGATCGACATTATCATTCAACAAACAATTGTGACTACCTTAGCCGTGCTGACTTTTATTTCCTTGTTTGAATTAGTGGTCGTCCTGTGCATGTTTTTATTGTGTATTTGACCTTTACGACATATGGTCCAGCCGAAACAAAAAAGGGGGTACACGTAAAACTGGTTGAACCTTGTGTTGTTCCTGTACCAATTCAGGCTATCTGGACCATGTGTTGTTCCTGTACCAAGTCAGCCTATCTGGACCATGTGTTGTTCCTGTAAAAGTACTACGGGTACTATTTAAACAGATTGTGGTCAGTATTAGGTACAAATAGAATCACAAATACTCAAGAGTATATCATCTAATTAGTTACAAGTCTAAATTGAAAACAACGTTCAAACCTATGATTGCGTTGGATAAAAACCGCAATTTTTATACGTGTGCATGCAAAACAAATTTCTTGTTAGAGGAGTCTAAATACAGCACAAACAACATTTTCCAAAAGATCAAAAAAGTGAAAAAAGTATATTTTAACAAAACGCATTTGACTAAATAGTTGATATCCACTAATAAGTTACCTTTTCATTTATTCCCAGGGGGGGGGGGGGGGGGGGGGCTGGAGGGCCCGGCCCCCCCTTTTGTGGGAAAAATTTGGTTGATTATATAGGGAATCACTGAAGCATGACTGGAGCGCCCCCCCTTTTTGGTCAGTTAGTGGGCCCCTTATAAAAAGTTCTGGATCCGCCACTGTATAATCCATTTCACAGATGACAACGGATATGTTCAAATTGTCGTTACTACAATCCCGTCCCCTTTTCCCCGAATGTGACCTACCGAATTAGACTTATTACCGGGTTTGTACTAACATGAGCAACACGACGGGTGCCACATGTGCAGCAGGATCTGCTTACCCTTCCGGAGAACCTGAGATCACCCCCAGTTTTTGGTAGGGTTCGTGTTGCTCAGTCTTTGGTTTTCTATGTTGTGTTTTGTGTACTGTTGTTTGTTTTGTTTTTTAGCCATGGCGTTGTCAGTTTATTTTCGACTTGTGAGTTTGAATGTCTCTTTGGTATCCTTCGCCTCTCTTTTATCACTGGCTTGTTGATCTTACTTTTTGAATGCAAAAGTTGTATAAACAGTGAACGGGGAAATAGCATCCAGATTAAGTCGGCAGATACTATTATGCGATAAAAAAAAGTCAGCCAAAGACGTAGAGACAAAATTATGGCAGAATTTTTAGAGAAGATCGACAAAAAAATAATTCTTGTCCATATGTTAAAAATATTTGAATCAACAACTTGGACAGCACTCTAACTATATAGAATGGGATCCTTGCCCATTGTCGATGCAAAGTAGAAACTTGATCAGGATCTTAAACTATCTACCGGTACTACAAATTATATTAATATTGCCATAGATAAAGCATGAGTTAATTGCCATTGAGATGTAAGACTGACTTTCACTATGAAGAACCGAAAACGTTATAGTGATCTTTGTAAAACTTTTACTACATCCATAGACAAGGAAATATTCGCTATCATTAAAAGATATATTTAGTAAGGGAACAGTGGAATTTCAGGAGGACCAATTACAAAAACAAATTGCAAATTTTGAGTAAATAATGTGATTTAAAGTATTCCTTTCTGAATCAGGAGTATTACTGTCGTTGCCTTTTTCAGACATTGCTAGATTGTATTGAACTATGACCTTAAAATGGTCCTGTACTTTACATCTGTTACTCTATATTGTTTCTAAAGAGTAAGCAATACTTAGATATCCACCGAGAATGTATGTTCTGAGAATGCAAAATTTAGATATCTACTGAGAAAGTATGTTCCGAGTAAGCAATATTTAGATATCCACTGAGAGTGTATGTTCTGAGTAAGCGATACTTAGATATCCACTGAGAATGTATGTTTTGAGTAAGCGATACTTAGATATCCACTGAGAATGTATGTTCTGAGTAAGCGAATAAGCGATACTTAGATATCCACTGACAATGTATGTTCTGAAAAGTGAAGTAACATTTTACATTAAATAAATGGCGAAATCTATCTAGAAATATCATAACCCTTGTACCATTATTCCATCCAAACTTCTATTAAAAAAATGTAATTAAAAAAAACAAACCTAAACACAAACATTAACTTGTAAACTAACAATAAAATTATTTATTTTGTAAAAATTATTTCCGTTCTCCATGTATACCTTACAACAAAATTATTTTTATTTACCTGTGTACGTTATTTTATTTGGCGGCATTTTGTCCAAGGTTATGGTTGTCTTTCTGATATTGTTTTACATCTAACCCCCTTGTTTTATTAATTTTGTATTTAAATTGTGTCATTAATCAAATTTATTCGTTCAGTGTATGTTCACTTGTTTTTGTTAATATGTCGTTTGATTGAGTTAAGCCATTTCAATTGATATTTTATAGTGTGTCTTTCTATGTTGTGACGTTACACTATTGTTTCAGGAAGGGTGAAGGTTGGCGCCTATTAAAACGTTTAAACCCGCTGCATTTGTTTGCACCTGTCCGAAGTCAGGAACCCGATGTTCAGTGGTTGTCGTTTGTTGATGTGGTTCATAAGTGTTTCTCAATTTTTATATAGATTAGACCGTTGGTTTTCCTGTTTGAATGGTTTTACACTATTCATTTTTGGGGCCCGTTATAGCTTGCTGTTCGTTGTGAGCCAAGGCTCCGTGTTGAAGGCCGTACTTTGACCTATAATGATTTACTTTTACAAATTGTGACTTGGAAGGAGAGTTGTCTCATTGGCACTCATACCACATCTTCTTATATCTATGTAAAAGTTTCAAAGTCAATGAAAGTTGGGGCTATATAACCTCCATGGAAATGAGACTTGCAAATGCCAATACATTTGCATACCAAATATCCTTAACTTAAGTGGTTCATCTTAAGCTGATCTAATCACAAACTAATACATGTAGACTAAACACAAGTTTCAAAGTCAAAAGACCATGACTGAGAGGCGGGGCCAAACAATCTCCATGGAAATGAGATATGCCAATGCTTATACAACTGCATAATAAATATCATTGACCTACCACTAATGGTTCCCCATAAACTGATCTAATCACAAACTAATACATGTAACATAAACAAAAGTTTCAAAATCAATAGACCATGACTAGGGGGCGGGGCCAAATATTCTCCATGGAAATGAGATATGCCAATGCTTATACAACTGCATACTAAATATCATTGACCTATCACTAGTGGTTCACCATAAACTAGACCTAATCACAAACTACTACATTGTTGACGCCGCCGCCGCCGGAAACAGCATACCTCGCTTTTTTACTCAATCAAGTAGAGACAAAAAACAGAATTATAAAAAATAGATTTTTATTAAAGTAAAACATAAAGTAAAACATACTCATTAATATATACATAAAACAAAATTATATCAAACAAGATTTTTATTATTTGTAATGCATCAAGTTTGTTAATCATTGTGAAGTAGACATTGTATCGTCCTCCTGTGTGTCCTCCGTAGATATATTGTCAATGTCAAAAGAAGCTGAATTATGAATTACCATACACTTTGGTTTTAGTTCATCAATAACTGCTTGTAGTTCTGTATTGAAAAAATGTCAATCATTATAGCATCGAAATACACATTTAAAACAATCGTGTAGCTATGATTTTCTATTGTTTGCCGGATTTTTATGTACATCAGACTGTGTGCATGACTGGAGGATCATTATTAACGAAGAAAAAGTTGGGGTAAGACATGAGCGCACTCATTTATCTTGATGACCACTATGCTTCATATACAAGTTTAATTTTTAACGATCTCTTACAGTGTTTTATGCGTTTTTAAGACCGCCAAACGCGCATGAATTTCGCATAAATCAGTTTACGAACGATCTTTTAATTTTGATTTATTTCTATTAATTGTTTTACCTGGATTTATTGATCTTCCATCAGCAAATATAACATTCATATTCAGGATGGCGACATCTAAATGTGACATGAAGATCCTTATGCGGTACTTAAGCGTTTGCTGCGATAGATTTTTGATATCCTGTCTTACAAGGCAATAGTCCGCAGAAAAAACTTGCTAGCGTACACAAACATATTATTCGATTCCGATCCAATCAGTTTTTGCTCTTTGTCCAAATGAGTATGAGCTTGGTGAAGAGGCACCACATGCTAATAATTCTTTGTTTCGGAAATCGAACCGATAACACTCCCCACTCGAAGCAAGCGTGAAGCACTTAGCCACTGTTGCGGTTAAACGGTTAAACGATGGAAAGTGTCTTTGAAGCAACTACTTAAATGCATGTTCTTATTATAAACTTTTTCATACCTGTAATACTTGATTTGTAATTTTTCACTGCTTTTAAATCAGGCCATGCCATGATACTAAGTTTGGAAGTAGCTGCTGTTCTCCAAGTACCCTGAAGTACTTCATATTTTGGTGTATTAACACTCAGAATTCCACCATGAGCAATTCTAGAAATAAAATAAATCTTAACTTCAAATAAACATTCCCTTTTACTACGAATGGAATAGTTCTTAAGACAATGGCCAAGTAAAATTTCGAATTTTTATGTTTTATTGAATATTTTTTTTTCCAAGTTGATTTACAGAAATATATTTATGATTTGCCTAGTGGCTTTCCTTCTTTATCCATCTAATAGTGTCTATGGTGTTTGAGCCTTTGTAACTTCTAGTTCTTCCTGCATTTATATGTAATAAACAACATCTCTTTCAATATCGAATGATTGACATGACCAAACTTACCTTAAAGGTCTAAGTATATTTTCAATTAGGTTTCTATATCGAGTTACAGCCTCTACATTCTCTTCGATCATTGAAATCTCGGTTATAGTAACCATTGTTTTTTCTGCAAATACAATAGAATTTTTTATTTCTTAAACAGGACTTTCCTTACACCTGCTTTATATTACAACTAGCAATTATTACCATGAGTGTAGTCTTACACACGTTTCCTTCATAGTAAATAGTCAGAATATATGGACATTTATTTTTTGGAATAAACCTTGAAGTTTACTTATAATGTTTGTTATTTCCTACTCTTCTATTAACAGTTTCTTGAAGGCCCTTTACGATTAACTATTGAGTCTTTACCATAAGCACTGACAATTCACCTTTTGTGGAAATGGGGGGAGCAAACGGGTCTTTTTTTTTTGGGACTAAAATTTATTTTCTCAATTTTTATCCAAAAAATATTGTAATTTGTTTCAACAACATACAAGCAAAAGTTTTCTTTTACTAGTAATCAATGATTATATATAAGAAGATGTGATATGAGTGCCAATGAGACAACTATCCATCCAAGTCGCAATGTGTAAAAAGTAAGCAATTATAGGTCAACGTACGGCCTTCAACATGGAGCCTTGGCTCACACCGAACAGCAAGCTATAAACGGCCCCAAAATGACTAGTGTAAAACAATTCAAACAGGAAAATCAACGGTCAAATCTATATAAAAATTGAACCACACCAACAAACCACAACCACTGAACAACAGGCTCCTGACTTAGGACAGGTGCATAACAATACAGCGGGTTTGAACGTTTTAACAGGCGCCAACCTTCACCCTAAGCTGAAACAGTGGTGTAACATTACAACATAAACAGACACACAATAAAATATCAACTGAAATGGCTTAGCTCGATTAAAAAGACATACACATAAACAAGTAAATATACACTGAACGAATAAGTTTGATCTATGACACAATATAAATAAAAAAGATGTATCAATGTCAAAAAGACATTTTTAACCTAGGACAAAATGGAGTTAAATAAAGTAATGTACACAGTTAAATTTGAATATAATAATTTTGTTGTTGGGAGTACAGAAACATTTTTTACAAAATAAATTTGTTGTTCATAGTACGAGTACAGAAGTGAAAATTTATCGTCATACTAAATAATTATCAAAGGTGGTACATATTAAAAATAGTAAAACGAGATATAACACAATATGAGTAAACATTGAATAACAGAAATGCACTACAAATTGTTTCAACAGGTCAAAGTAACACGAAAGTACGATTTGAGAGTACTCACAGTTACGAGGGTAGGTATGCCCTTTACCGTCAGGCGTCAAACGGTCAATTTCGGCTACCGTTAGCGTCAAATTGGTTAAAATTTGATCGTGATTCGTCAAAAAATATCCTTATCGTGATTCGTCAAAAAATATCCTTATCGTGATTCGTCAAAAAATATCCTTATCGTGATTCGTCAGAGGTCTCAAATAACTATCCGTTACCGTAATTTGTGGAAAAAATTTAACGTGATTCGTCAAAATCAGATGATTTTTTTATCGTCATAAAGAAAATGTACATTTTATCGTCATGCACCAAACATTACCGTTAACGTCATTTGGCAAGAATTTTTACCGTTATTCGTCATGAAGGTACCCCCATTACGACCCTCAGTTACTTAAAGCTAGTTGAAAGCCAAAAGCAATTATTATATAATTATATGTCTCTGTTGGCATCTATGAATTAATAATAAAAAAATTATGCATCAGAGACTAAAATCAATTAAAACACATCCCAGGCAGGGATTTAGTGTTTTAACGCAATGGACAGTCACAGAATACATGACTAGTGCAATTCCAAAATAAAAGTAACAACAGGCAGTAGGAAAGTTAGGATTTAACCTTATAATAAATATGTATGATGTTATATATAGATAAAACAATTTCTAAATAGAAAATAAACGTGGATGTGTATATATACATCCCAAACAACCATTCGAAAAGAAAACAAATTTAGTTATGTTTTAATTTGTTGATGACAAAATCGATGTTAGTGCCAATGAAAACAATATTCAAAGATCTTATTACCACATTAATAAGATAACTTAATAATACTTATTTTTTCACTTCCCTTCAGAAGGAAATTATTCTTTTTAAGAAATTTCAAATCAAACGATTTATTAAAAAATAAACAACAACTTAACGTAACAACCATCCCCTCACACAAAAGATAAATGGATGGGTCAGTGTTTCAGCAGTTGTACACAATCAAGGTGATACTCAATATAGCTTCATTCTTTGATACTTGTTTATTTTTCATCACAGCAGAAGAACTATATTTTCCGCAATCATTTTACCTGACTGAAATTGTTCTTTAACACCAGTTACAGCTATATCTGAATTTTTCAACCATTTTGTTTCTTGGATACCAGGAGAAGTCGTTATCCAATCAGATGCTTCCTTTTTAGAAGGGAAACTAAGAAGTACAACTTGATTACCTTTCGGCCAATTACCAATAGATTTATATGGCTAAATGAAGAAAACAAAATGCATGTTTGAATAGTTTTACATTTTGCTAGTTATGAGGCGTGGGGTTTTTGGTCCCCGTTTGTTTTAATATAAACGCTATTTTTTTTAATTAATTGCACACCAATTAGAGAACTGTGTTTTAGATATATAGTGACTTTATAACAGATTATTCAAATAGTTTCACCTATTGATGTTATTGAAGCATTCGGTGTGGTTGTTTTGTTTTTTGATGTGTGCTGTCAAGCTTGCCTGCCACCACCGTTCACGTATATAATGCTAGTCAAATACACTCTTCTACACTTTTTATGTGTGAGGTTTAATAAATAATTTATATTTATCAAAAGATTAATTTTGTCTCCGTGAAGATAGTGTAGTACTTTTGATTGTACGGCAAAACAGTGCTGAGTTAAATTTGATATTTCATCGGCCTTTATATTCGGTCGGTCTGGTCTATAATTCAGGCTTTGACTTAGATAAGGCTTTTACATGCCTAAAATTGAGAATGGAAATGGGGAATGTGTCAAAGAGACAACAACCCGACCATAGAACAGACAACAGCAGAAGGTCACCAACAGGTCTTCAATGCAGCGAGAAATTCCCGCACCCGGAGGCGTCCTTCAGCTGGCCCCTAAACAAATATATATGCTAGTTCAGTGATAATGAACGCCATACTAAACTCCAAATTGTACACAAGAAACTAAAATTAAAAATAATACAAGACTGACAAAGGCTAGAGGCTCCTGACTTGGGACAGGCGCAAAAATGCGGCGGGGTTAAACATGTTTATGAGATCTCAACCCTCCCCCTATACCTCTAGCCAATGTAGAAAAGTAAACGCATAACAATACGCACATTAAAATTCAGTTCAAGAGAGAGTCTGATGTCAGAAGATGTAACCAAAGAAAATAAACAAAATGACAATAATACATAAATAACAACATGCCTGCATTCTTATTCTCTCTCTCATATAAAATATTTACCTTTACATCATTATAAATTGCTATACATGTATTTACAGTAAGTCTACATTTGATATACTCAGTATATTTTCTTCTGGCTAAACACATGGTTGTGTTACCAGTTTTCATATATCATATGAAATTCGATTACAACATTGATTGTTAAGATGCTTTTTTTGTTGAAATAACAAAAATCAAACAGTTTAATTTGCATATCATCACTAGATTCAGGGGGTTAGGCCACCCAAAACCCCTGCCACGGTCAAAAATCAAGTTAATCTACGTCTGTGTTGGACATGTATGCAAAATATGTGACTCTTGAATTTATATCACTTAAATCTTTAAAAAAATCAGGATCCAATGTATCCGATATAAATTTGTTTGTAAAAGTAATTTCAGGAATGAGAAATTGGAGCAACTTTTGTTCTTTTGAATCATCTATGTTTATTTATCGTTCATTTGTAACTATTCAAAGTAAGCTGTTGCAAGTCACCTCTGACGTACATGCTTATACAACTTTGACCTACTGTTTTTTTTATATATATATATATATATATATATATATATTATTCATAAACAAAAGCGTTTAGAGAGTAACTCACTTTAATACTTTTAAAAATAAGGCGACCTTTTTGAATTTCCAGAAGTTTCTTGTTATTTTTCAAAAACGTTAGAAAATCCTCCATTATATCTTTTGAAAACCGTACTACCATATAACATACTCCTGGATCTTCTTCGTCATCATCTGAATTAACATCCTGAAAGCAGAAGTAGTCTTTCAAATGTTTTAACGAGAAAGGATTCTTCATCTTTCAGAATCTTTCATCCAAAATTCTAACATACATTCAAATGGTTGAATGTATTTCTTACTGAGGCTTTTATAATAAAGATATTAGCTTGTGAGTTAGTCGTCTCAAACAGAAATCAGACGACTTTCCTTTAGTATACATATGTTCCACCGAGGAGGCAATTTGATTTCAGCTATCACTTTTTATTCTTGTAACAACCTGAATATAATTTACTTTTACAAAATAAATATAAGCACCAAAGAATATGTGCATTAAACACAGTATTGGATATGCAATATATTTAGATTATCATTTTGTTGTCTCATGAATTTGGCAAGATCATTCTCTCAATGAACAATTGTTTCATAGCTGGTTTTGGCGTCTTATTTTCGTTTTTTAAGGTTATTGCTTTTTCATTTTGTTTCTTTAAACTTTCCAGTTATTGATTTCAAACACCATTGATGAGAAGTAATATGCATATATTGTGCACCATGCTAACTTCGGTACTTTTTCATTAAAAGAATAAAAGAAGAGATGTGGTATTTACATAAATGAAGCAGCAAACCAAAAACACAAAACAGATAAAAACACCTATAGGTAAACTTTAGTCTATACTATATACTATTGTCAAAATATACATACTACACTGGAATCTTGTATCCCCATAGCCTCCTCATATGAAGGTGGTAATATACTGCTCTCTACCTGGTTAATGATAGCTGCACTAGTACTGGCAGCACTAATTGCTAGATTGTTCATCGGTGGTTGGTGTTGTCCTGTTCCGGTGGCACCAGTTTGTTTGGAGAGTGAGTCTAGCTGTGGTGCTGAAGGTTGCACTGCCGTTGGAGTTGAAGATTTAGTAACTTGTATACTTGTGCTGCTATCCGAAACAGTTTTAGAAGCAATCGTGGACGGTGTTTGAGTTTTGGTAACTCTTACAGTTGGGCTAGTAGATGAACGTCTTGTAGAAGCATCATTGGACGAGGTATTTGTCGCTGCGTTAGACTTGGCCGATGCTGCAATATTCTGCTTTGGTTTTGTTGCAGTAGTGACATTTTTATATTGATAATTGACTGCATAAGCACACATTGGAGTGAAAGTCATATTTGGAAAATTCCTCGAGCTCGAAGACTGGTTGAATGGCTTCCACCCTTTATTGCAGTTAGTGTATGTAATCGCCTTTGATGCATCAGTAACTTTAACAGAAAATACATAAAAATAAATAATGGTCAAAACTTAAAAAGGTAATTTTATATTCAACACTCCTGTTATGAATTCTATCAGAAACATTGAAGTAAAGCGCAAATGAGAGCTTTTTATTACCCTGTGCTCTTTTCCTCAATTTGGTAAAACTACGATAGATAGAAAGCAACAATATATAGCAAAAATGTTCTGCAAAATCAAATAAGTCAACATGATTGAAATCATTAATTGTCCCCTCAGATGAATTACAACCTTTGAAACTGTAACAAATAGAGAGGAACAGTAGATAGCAAAATTGTTCAGGTAAGATCTACAAATAATCAGCATGGCTGATATTGTCAATTACTCCTTATGGGAGTTATTCCCCCTTTTTTATTGTCCTTTATTTATTGTATGCCTCTTTTTTAACAACAAATATGACAGAATGCAAGACTTGAATCCATAAAATACAAATAATTGCTATGACTTGACCATTAAGTTTTTTTTACATACACATGTACATACACAATGCTTACTATAGTTGATGGATTTTCCAAATAAAAATACCTTGAATGCCAGCAGCTTGACTAAGACTAGATGCCTTTAGAGACTTCCCGAATGGAACCGTTCCTATGGTAACAGGAAAGATTAACTTCATATCACTTCCAGTGAAAAAGGGCACTGATACAATAACCTATAATAGTTAATAAATAAATTGATCAAATAAAACAGCCTACTCAAAAATTAACCCCAAGATATGGTCATAAGTCTGTCCAAAATAATAATACATAAAAAGATACTAATAGTAGGAAACACGATAGATGCTGGATAATATAATAGACCATATCAAATATCAACAAAGGACTTATTCGAAACAAATAGATGCAACAACAATGAACAACATATGGTCAAGATAGCTAAAGTCAAAACTGCGGTTGTCTTTGGTTATAATCTTAATGCCTTTTAGTATTGTTTTTGAGCACTTCGGTTCTCTTTGGTTATCAACTTATAATAATGCCTTTTAAGATTGTTTTTGAGCGAATTTGGTGTTGATGATAGATTGTATATCAATTCCAAATTGAAATCTTCTAAAAACAATTTAGATAATTGATTTTGAAGATTGAGACGTGTAGATACCCTTTGAACGAGTTTATTATTAAGTATCAAAGTCTTGGCTAATTGAAGTCTGAGATACTACATTGACAATTGCCTATTCCTGAAGATCGTATGTTGAATTCTAGATAGTTTTGTCGTTGGGTTGTTGTCTCATATGTAAATGTTCATGAACGAGTTGATAATTGCAGCTTGCAGTGGTGCAAAATAGTATTTGAATTCATATTGTTTTTAATATACTTTTACTGTTAAAAGTTGTCTTTTTCTGATCAGTTTTATTGTGGTATTTTCCTTTTAAAAATGTATTTTCCTGAGCAAAAACATACAAACCTCGAGTACATATCTGACACTGATGCACTGACATGTTGGTCTCTCTATGGTGGCTGGTATTCCATCTATAAGTATCAATTGGTTGTCCCATTTAATAACTTTACCCTGAAGTCAAAATTTCAGAACTTGAGATGGTTTGCTTCTTTTATATATCGAGACTAAGTATTTAGACTGTAACTTTCTTATACAATTATGGGGATGTCCTTCAATTCTGTATTTTTTAATATTTTAAGCCATTTTTCTCCATTCTTTTTAAATTTTGCAACATATGACTAAACATTAAACCAAAATAAATGCTTTACCGCTGCCAGTTCTGAGGTGGAGGTTATGACTTTAATAGTATCGTTTGAGTATTCCTCTTTGGCATTCCCAATGAATGTCACATACTGCATTAACTGTGCTTTGATCTTTCCAAGATTCTGTGTGGAATCATTCTTTACAACGACTGTACATTAGAACAAAAAGGAAATAAAATAAAAAGATAATGTTTCATTGACTGATCAACATTAATTATAAACTGCACTTACATATATTTTTATAAATGAATCAAGTAGAGTGCAGTGTGTTTTTAAGACAAATTCGACAGAAAATACGAAAAATGAAGGCGTTGTGACAATATTAGGCATTCTTCGGTACTCAACATCAATAATGATACAAATGGAATAGTTAAAACAAATTGACATCGTAATATTTAAGTAATATGGTGTGGCTACTTTGAGACTCACTAGACAATGCAATTTGTTCTCCTGGACAGTAGGCTGAACGATCTATCTTTCCCCATAGTTCTACTTTTCCAGCATTTCCTAATCCTAAAGCTTTTGGAACCTGGCAATCTTTTTTGTAGCACCGTGGTTTCTGAAATTTAAGGAATACTGTGTTCGAACAACAAAAGCTTTAAAATGTATAATTTAAATTAATTGATTGTAAATTCATCCTTTACCACTAACATACAACTTAGTTTATCGTTAGTTATTTAGTTGGCTTGTTTCTGGAGAATATTGTGTTTTATCGCTATTTTACGAATTTTCCCTTTGATCTTGCTGACTGATAATTTCCGTTCTCAGCGGAGTCGAACATATGAAAACGGAGTCGAGTGATATGAAAACGGAGTCGAGTGATATGAAAATTATCGCTAGAAACTAAGGGAACACGTGCCGTTGTCAAGGAAATTAACAACGTCTTCATAAGTAAAATAGCGATAAACAGATTATCATTGGTCATCTCAACTCGATTGCTTTTCTCACTTTCGCCGTACCGGCTCAAGCGAGAAAATCAATCTCGTTGGGTAACCAACAATAATCTATAGTTATTACTGAAACACGATAGTTTAGACCATTGTATATCTATGGTATTCAGAAAAAATCAGATATTTGTAATATAATCATTTTTTAGATTGATTGTTTTCTGCAATTTTGTGAATGTTGTGTTGGAAAACTGGCTAGAACTTTAACTCAAGTTTAAATGAATGTATATGCTAATCCATATAAAGATTATGCAGAAAATTCCCAGTTAGTTATTACATGTAGGGATATTTGATATGATTGCCAAAAAGACAACTATCTATCCACCAGAGATCATCGGACGAAGATGCAGTTTGTGTGTTCGCTAGTCAGTTTGTCATCTCGTATAACAAAAGAGAGTGAGTGAGTGAGTGAGTGAGTGAGTGATAGTACCCTATAGCAAGCTTCATTGACATCAATCTCCTCTAGTACGTTGATGCAGTGGGTGAATGAGTGAATGAGTGAGTGAGTTATAGATAGTACCTTATAGCAAGCTTCATTGACATCAATCTCCTCTAGTACGGTGATGCAGTGAGTGAGTGAGTGAGTGAGTGAGTTATAGATAGTACCTTATAGCAAGCTTCGTTGACATCAATTTCCTCTAGTACGGTGATGCAGTGAGTGAGTGAGTGAGTGAGTTATATATAGTACCTTATAGCAAGCTTCGTTGACATCAATCTCCTCTAGTACGGTGATGCAGTGAGTGAGTGAGTGAGTTATATATAGTACCTTATAGCAAGCGTCGTTGACATCAATCTCCTCTAGTACGGTGATGCAGTGGGTGAATGAGTGAGTGAGTGAGTTATTGATAGTACCTTATAGCAAGCTTCGTTGACATCAATCTCCTCTAGTACGGTGATGCAGTGAGTGAGTGAGTGAGTTATAGATAGTACCTTATAGCAAGCTTCGTTGACATCAATCTCCTCTAGTACGGTGATGCAGTGAGTGAGTGAGTGAGTGAGTTATATATAGTACCTTATAGCAAGCTTCGTTGACATCAATCTCCTGTAGTACGGTGATGCAGTGAGTGAGTGAGTGAGTGAGTTATAGATAGTACCTTATAGCAAGCTTCGTTGACATCAATTTCCTCTAGTACGGTGATGCAGTGAGTGAGTGAGTGAGTGAGTTATATATAGTACCTTATAGCAAGCTTCGTTGACATCAATCTCCTGTAGTACGGTGATGCATTTATATCGAGTTACATCTGGGAAGGGTATCGGTCTTCGGATACGGATTTGTATCATGTATCGAATGGCTCCCTTGTGTCCCTCATATGATGATGGTAGTCTTAAAGGAATTATATACTTAAAAGGGTACTTGTAGACTCCTGGTTGTATGTTTTCGTTAGTGTCTGCATAAAATATATTTGAAAATTTACGCTTTTAATATTCTAACATTCATAAAGCTTTTACCTTTCATTCGTCATTTTTCTTCTATAAATGTATGTTTTACTTCTAAGTCTTTAAATTGTAATCATGTTTATCAATTGGATTGCAATACAATATACTATCTGCGGAATTAATATTAAAGAATATACTATCAATTATATAAAAATGTATCTGTATACTCAATTAAACTTAGTAAAAAAAATATTCTTTTTCTAATTAATTATATGATATACTGTCTTTACCTAGCTTCTTGTTAAAAAACTATATCGTAGCAGTTTAAGGGACTTATCGTTTTTTACCTGGGAGGGGGCTGGTCATTTTGAAATCAAACATACAAAATTTTCTTCATCCCCTATAATATTTCACTATTTTTATTTTATCCCCCCCTTAAAAACGTTTAAAAAAAATGTGATCCCCCCCTCTATTAAGCATGCCAAAATTTTAACATGCAAAACATTTACCTTTGACACACATGATATATACTTGAAGATTCATAAGTTCACAAATATTTCATTAGAGATAAAATTGATCCCCCCACTTCCCCCACTTTGAATTTATAAAAAAATTTGAACCCCCCTTTTCGACTTACAGAAAAATACTTGACCCCCCTTACATTTATCCAGCCCCACCCGACTCCCAGGTAAATAAACAGCTGCGCCATGAGCGCATGATACGCCCGTCGTCTTGTGTGTGAATTTTTATGCAATAATCATAAATAGTTTCTGACATACGGCGCGACATGCGAAACCCCCCCCTTTTTTTACAAAAAACTCAATATCTCTAAAAATAATTTTTGAATCAAAACCAAATGTATACAGATCTTTAGATTAATATAACTAAGAAGTGTGTAAAATTTTAAGCAATAATCATAAATCGTTTTTGAGATACGGCGCGACATGTGAAAACCCCCCTTTTAAAAAAAAAAATCAATATCTCTAAAATAAAATTTTGAATCAAAACCAAAAAGTATACAGATCTTTAGATTAATATTACTAAGAAGTGTGTAAAATTTTAAGCAATAATCATAAATCGTTTTTGAGATACGGCGCGACATGTGAAAAACCCTACCCCCTTTTTTATTTTACAAAATACTAAATAACTCAAAAATAAAATTTTAAATCATCACCAAAAAATATACAGATCTTAAGATTAATATAACTAAGAAGTGTGTAAAGTTTTAAGCAATAATCATAAATTGTTTTTGAGATACGGCGCGACATGTGAAAAAAACCACACACCTGTTTTAGTTACTAAGTCCCGTAACTCAAAAAGTTTTAATCTTATTTTCACCAAAAAGTATACAGATCGTTTGACCATCATAAGAAACAACTATGATAAGTTTCATGAAATTTGGATAAGTCGTTCTCAAGTTACGGTGCGACATGTTTACGCCGGACAGACAGACGGACAGACGGACAGACGACATTTGTATACCATAATACGTCCCGTCAAAATTTTGACGGGCGTATAAAAACGATAAATCCCTTAATTGATTTTCCAGAAAACAAATATTGAAATACAATAATTTATTAATGCATATTAATGATATCAAAATATCATAACCCTTGTCCATCTATAGTATAACAACCTTATATATATGTAAGAAAACTCACCCCCTTTTCCATGTAATTGAACGGTATTTTTCAAATACACCTCGTAGGAAATAAATTCGTCGTCTTCGAATCTTTTATTCCAGTTATATTCCGTCCATTTAACGAAAGCTACTCCTTGAAAAGTTGAAAGTATTCCTTTAGTAGTGAACTCTTTTTCTGATGTCAATTTCCAATACCCTCTAACCTCATCACCGGGGCGGTATACCTGTTTTTCTCCCTCTAGAAAAACAGTCACTGACTTGATTTTTTCAGGCATCGTTGAAAAGTTTATATCCTTATACTTATTATTCACTTTTATATGAATGATATCCGCTAGAAAAGCATGTGATTGTATTATTAATTGAGAAATATTGTCATGTGATACTGCGATATGTGTGTCACTATATGTATATTAGCCCAGGTCAGGTTTACAACTTTTGTAATAAGATTAGATTGATCTTTGTTGACAGAGTTATCACCTCGTTGGCACGCTGATATGAGTTTGCTGCATTTTGAAATACGAGTTTCTGTTAAGGCAAACAATTACTGCAATATTTCAATATAGAAATGATTGCATGTAGCACTAAATATTTATGGTAAATTTCGTAATCCCCGCTTTCGGAAAAACGCGAATGTATATTATTTGGTAAGAATATATTTTGATTGGTTCACTTCCGCATGTCAATCAGACTTTGCATTTATATTCTATATTTGTTTTTATTTTGTTATTCAGTTAAGTTTTTGAGATTGAAATATATGGACGTCAATAAATATGTAAACTTTCCAGCGTCTTGGATTTTATATTAGAGACCGCTAGTTTCCCCAAAAAATGTATTATATGACCGACCGGACAAATAACCTGGTCATGCTACCCCTAAAAACCGCCAGTTTTTATTATAACCATTACACAGTTTCTCTTTTCAAAATAAAATGAAATTGTTATTTTCTGAAGTCATGAGCCATGTTGTACCTTTGTTATACTGAAACACTATACTGAGTAGTACCAGAAGTCCATTACTAGAGCTCTAGTAATGGACTTCTGCTAGTACCAACAGAACATTGCCCTTTTTTCAATATGAAAAAAATGATATTGTTGTTCACCAAATGGAATTTGATATGGGATGTTATCGTATTAAGAGAAGAGGATTCAGATGGTTCTTCGCTAAATGCTGACGATACCAGCCTGTACAAGAGGTAATATTCCTCCATTTAATCCTCCCTTCTGAAAACCCCTCCTAAATTTTAAATTGGATTTGTTTGAGAGAAAAATAAGATGGAGATACCAAGAGTGCAGTATAAATCAAAAGTCAAGACGAACATATCACCATGAATATTTTAAAGTTAAATGTATAGTATTGTACGATTTTATTTGGGGTATCATGGATTAAATGAGGAGTTCCTCAATCTCCTATATTAGAGGTGAAGATTTCAGATACAGATACATGACCGAAAGAAAAAGACGACAGACAAGCAAGTTCACTGAAACTACAGAATAAGCAAACGAATCCTACCAATTCAGTTGCAGTAACAAGAAACTAACCCAAGGATTTGTATACATCTGCACAAAATCCTTGACTAACCTAATCACGAAAACTTGGTGTTAACCAGTGAACCTTGAAAATGAGGTCACGGTCAGATGAACCTTTTTAGACGGATCCAAGATCCTTACTCCTTACAGCTATTTTAAACACCAAATATAGATTAAACTATTATTTCCGATGTAAGAAATACTTACCAAAATTACGAAAACTAAACGTTATCAATGAACCAAGAAAATAAGGTCATGGTAAGATGAAAGCGTTTAAGCGGAGACATACCTTACAACCAATCTACATATCAAATATAGTTTACCAGTTACTAGTAGTCTTAGAGAAAACGGACCTAATTACGGAAAACTTGAATCACTTAATCGTTGACCCATGGGATGAGTTCAAGGATGAAACATTACAGTCGAAATTAAAATGGAACAACCACTATATAGAGTGCAAACAAATCAGGGAAACCACAAAATTTATGTAGTTACAGTCTTTGTGACCCACACACAGCAGAACACATAAACAAACTTGCAATGGTATAGAAGCCTACGGTAACCGCTCGTTGTGAATACAACAACTACCATAACACCAGTAGAGTAACAACTATACTCTACAAACTTGAATGGCCAACACTTATGATGAAGTTATATGTATACCAGAAGAAAATATATGGAGAATGTGTCCATGTGACACAGATGATGCCCCCGCTTGCATATAATGTTATAAAGGAACATAACTAGATAAAATGCTCCGCTGGGCGCAGCTTGATACGACCGCAGAGGTCGAACCCTGAACAGTTGGGGCAAGTATGGGCACCACATTCAAGCTTGATACAGCTCTGAATTTGGATTGTGATTAAATATTTGACACAGCATAGGTTTCTGACACAGAATGAATGTGGTCTAAGAACTTAAAAATGTTTAATTTACCTATTATGGTCCAATATCCAAAATCTAAATACATACAAGGTTAGAATCAGCATATCAAAGAACCCCAATAATTTAATTTTTGTTAAAATCAAACTAAGTTTAATTTTGGACCCTTTGGACCTTAATGTAGACCAATTTGAATACAGGACCAAAAATTAAGAATCTAAATACACGGTTAGATTCAGCATATCAAAGAACCCCAATATTTCAATTTTTGATGAAATCAAACCATATAATTATTATTTGCTTTTATATATAAATCAAAAATAACCAACTTAAAATGGAAGATTTTAAAGAAAAAAAAAGGAAAAAAAGGAAAAAGGAAAAAAAAATCCCCCCCCAAATTTTTTGAACCCCCTTATGATTCATCACCCCCAAACTCAATCCCAGTCTTCCCTTTGTGGTAAAGTACCTTGCAGTACAATTTCAGAGAGATCCATACACTTGAACACAAGTTATTGTCTGGAAACTGTAAAATTGCTTGTTTTTTTGCCCCTTTTTGGCCCCAAATTCCTAAACGTTTACGGCAATTACCCCCAAACTCAAACCCAGCTTTCCCTTTGTGAT